ACCCACCTGTCTCCATTGATCCAACGGCGTGCTTTCGTCAATTACTACTGGATCCTGCGGTCCGCCAGGGCCCTGAGGCCCCCCGCGACCGCGTTCACCGTCCGAGGGATCTGATCCCACTGGGCTTCCTGGAGGCGATCCACGTGGTCTTTTACCGTGACCATCTTCGTGCGTAGACATAGTCTCGGTATTCGGAGCGTCGCTCTTGTCATCTCCTTCTCCGCCATGTCCTGCCTCGCCCGACGACTTAGCCGCCGTCGTTGCCGTAGGGCCATCTTTATAGGGCGGGCGATAATTGGCGAGAGTGGTATCTTCGCTAGATCCTGTTAGCTTGATTCCAATAGGGAATCCGCTCTCAGGGGCACTCGGCTTAGCCGGGCCCTCTAGGGCAGGACCGGGAACGGTAAACTTCGGACGCAATAATGGCCTCACAGGAGGTTCTTGCGAAAGCAACGGCAAGCCGAACGAACTCGAGGTGGGTCCTGCTCCTCGTTCACTTTCAGTATATGGAGTTGGGTCGGTGATGATAGCCTCAATTAAGCCTCATCACTCCTTTCTCTGTATTAGCTGCGTTCGCAATGGCCTCTTCTTCTCGCATGTTGGCAGCTGACCTTTCACTCTTCCATAAGCCACATTTGGGGCATCTTCTAGTGCTTGCATCGAAATGTTCTTCACAGGCCGACCTACCACATCCGACGCAAGTGTCCGCTTCGGGCGAAAGCAGACTGCGCAAAACTGGGCCACCGAGAATGTATTTCCCCTCTCCTCGGGAGGAGGATGCGCCACCTTTCTTACCAGCAGGGTTGACGCTCCCGCATGTGCTATGTTTGTCGGGTCAGACTGCGTTGGGACGGATACGGAGCCGGACGACTGAGCCGCCGGCAATTGATGAACGATCGTTCCATTCGGCTTAGCCCGCGGGCCATTAGCATTGCTCGATTGCATGCGCTGGAGGGAAGATCTGGCTCCTTCATGCGATCTGAGTTCTTCCAGATATTGATTGTTCTGGTCAGCTATCTTCGCAGCTAGAGCTTGGGTGTTAACTGCTTCCAGCCTGGCGTCTTTGAGCTCTTCTTGTAAGCTCTACTTTTTCTCGTTCCGCCCTGACTGTAACGATTTGTTCTCCTTCTACACTGGCCGCCGCAACAGCGGCGGCGACCGTTTTGGCATCAACAGACGGATTGGTTGCCATCGCGACGGCCTGTCCCTCAAAAGCCAGTATTTCCATGCATATATTCTCGGCTTCCATCTCCGCCTGCCGCTTAACGACCGCGGTCTGATGATGCAATTGTTCCATCAGCTCTTGTTCTCGCTCTCTAGCAGCCATGGCTAGGGCGATCTGTTCAGCCTCGAACGTCTTCCGAACTGCAGCCATGGTTTCAGTCATCTCCTCTCTATCCAGTCGGGCCCTTTCGGCCAGCTGCGCTACATTGTTCTGAAACTCTCTCTGAGTGTTGGCCTCTGCCAGCCTGGCCTGGTCCTGGATAGACTGTCTGAGGAGATACGTGCAATTATGCTCGCCCATTGGGTAACACTCTGTACACAGCCATTGTGCGTTACACGTATGTCATGCATCCGAGCAACTCTTGCATACTGGATTCCTACATTCACCTTCTGGCTTGTCCGCTTTTCCTGGGCATCTGCTTTCCGCCTGAGGCGCGCAGTCAGGGTTAGGGTTCCAAGGAGCCTCCACCATGGAGATGGCACTGTTGCTCCTTGAAGTAGATCTCGCCCCTGATCTTGGCATCTTGGGTCTTCCCCTGCTTGAAGCATTTGATCTGGGGCGAACGAAGGTATTTTCTGGGGGTTTAGGCACGTCCAAGAGCTCTTCATCCTTTTCGTCTTGTGTTAGTAACTCAGTATACGAAGCTGGTTGTCCAACCATTTCTTCATCCTCAACAACGGCTGGTATCGAGGGTTGCCAGTCACCTGAGGTGGCGGCAGCGCGGATGAAACCCTCTTTCAGTGGTGAAACGTTTAGGTCGTAATCCTCGATTCTTTGCTTCTTGAGGTGAGGCGCAGGGGTTCTTCCTGCAGACTCCCTCCCATGCTTCGTCTGAGCCTCCGTCCTGTCCGCCTCAGGCGTCAGGATACTAGTATCTTCATCGGACCCATCTGGAGACCACCTCTCGCCTTGGGCGGGGAGGTCTTCTTCCATCATCAGGGACAATTCTCGGCTCAGGGAAATTTCGTTATTGATATTCTCAGAATCTTCCTCCATGGAATTGATTTAATGTTCATTATCAATGGGGTCATCACTGTCCTGACCAAATGTTCCGTTTAACGCTATTGGGATGGGAACGTTCGTATTCGTACCTGCCCATTCGCTTGGGATGCTGGGGTACGCACCTACGTTCTCGTGGGCTTCCCCTGGCCGGCCGGTCTCACCAGCGGCTGCGGCAACAGCATGTGTAGCGTTCGGAATTGGGCTGATTGACCCCGTCGATTTGGCACTCCAAAACGATAACGCACTTCGTCTAGTTCTTGCTGTCACGCCATCTCGCCCGTACGGGTCTGGGGTCTGCTCTCGATTACCAATCGGAACTCCAGCGGGAGAGACATCTACCGACATCTCTGCCACTCCGTCAGTACTTCTACCCCTAGTCTCCCGAGTGGCGATATAGGAAGGAGGGGTGCGATCCTGAATGGGACCGCTCTGAATCATGTCGTATGCATCATGTTGTACAACGCGCCCATCGGCGCTTCTCGAGACGTTGGACACGACGTCTGTCTTATCATAGCTCATTCCCGCAGCGACTAAGTCGTGGGGCTCATTTGAGGTTCCTTCTTTCGGTTGAGATGGCCCCGCGTCGACTAAGTCGCGCGCTTCGGCGGATAACCAGTCTTTCCTCTGAGAATCGGGATAAGATGCCAAAGGAATTAAGATCTCACGTTCACATTGCTCAGGGAGAGAGGGGACGGGATGAGACATCGATAAGACAAGTATCCGTTAAGCAAGATTACTCTACCAGGAATGTGAAGGGAGGAGGCCGGCTGGCCTACGACCGACGACGCGCGACGGCCGAGGGCTGGCGCGCTCCTTTTCTCTCCTGCAAGCCAAGGCTGGCTTGTTTGAGCATCCATACAGCTGCAGGATGCAGCTGGTAGTTCCAGCGGACAGTGCAATGCATGCAAGTTATGTTAAGTTCTAATTGAATCTGAGGCGGAGAGGAGCATATTTACTGATAGTGCCACTGCCGGAACCCATTTACGTGGCGACAGCTGTGCAAGTGACAACATCCCCAGGGAGGCTCGAGGTCTAGTCTGGCTCCGCGTTTGACGCCACTCCGCTGGACTTCCTAGGATCTCACAAATGTTGCGGCAATTGCGCAGGTGGCAACACAACCAAGGAGCCGCGAGGTCTAGGATGGGTCCGCATATGCCGCCACTGCGCTGCCCCGCCATCCCGCCCCAAGCGCCCACGAACGTGGCGACAATTCCGCAAGTGACAACACCTCCAGGGAGCCGCGGGGTCTAGACTGGGTCAGTGTATTTCCCCATTCCGCTGGGCCTCCCAGGAGCCCACGGACATGGCGACAATTGCGCCAGTGGCACCCCCCCCAAAGAAGCCGCGAGGTCTCGTTTGGGCCTGCGTATGACGCCACAAAGCACCCCCAGGGAGCCGCGGGGTCTAGTCTGGATCCGCGTGCTTCCCAATTCCGCTGCGCTGGGCCTCCCCATGAGCCAGCGAAAGTGGTGACAATTGCGCAGGTGGTGGCACCACCAGATGGCCGCGAAATATAGTGCGGGTGCGCTTATGACGCCACTCCGCTAGGCCTCATAGGAATTCACGACCGTGGCAATGCTTGCGCAGGTGGCAGCACTCCCGGGGGGCCGCGAGGTCTAATTTTGGTCTGCGTATGTCCCTAATGCGCTTGGCCTCCCAAGATCTCGCAAACGTGGCGACAAGTGCGCAGGTGGCGGCATCCCCTGGGAGCCGCGAGGAGGTGGCAGCAGCCCCAAGGAGGCGCGAGGTCTATCCTGACTACCTACCAGACCACCCCAGCCCAACCCGAAGACCCGAATTTGACCCGAACTTCGGGTTGGGGGGGTACGGGTTCCTTGTGTTTTTGCAGTGTTCCCCGACCCCCCCAACTGGAAATGGAGGGCAAATTGAAGCCTTCGGGTTGGGTTGGGGTGGTTTGGTGAGTGGTGATATCCTGGGTCCGCGTTTGACGCCACTCCGCAACAGCTGCACAGGTGGAACAGCTGCACGGGTGAACGTGCAACAGCTGCAACACGACCGAGCTGCAACAGCTGCTCCAGGAGCCCACGAACGTTGCAACAGCTGCACAGGTGGCAGCATCCCCGGGAAGCCGCGAGGTCTGATCTTGGTCCACGTGTGTCTACACTCCACTGGGCCTTCCAGGAGCCCACGAGCGTAGCGAGAGCACCTCAAAAGAGCCGCGGGGTCGAATCTGGGCGTGTATTTCTCCCTTTCGCTGGGCCTCACGCATTAGCGCATTGGTGGCAACCGTTGCACAGGTGGTAGCACCCGTAGAGAGCCGCCTGGTCGAGTCTGGGTTCGCGTATGTCCCCGCTTCGCTGGGCCTCACTCGCAGAGCCCACGGAATCGCGACAATTGCGCAGGTGGCAGCCCCCAAGGGAGCGGAGGGAGGATGCCGGAAGGAGGAAGGAGACGTGCGAGCATCTTCTGCAACACGAGAACCCAACACACGATAGTGGGGTATTGAGCAACATGCACGAGGTAGGAGGCGAAGCGGAGGAGGAGGTTGAGGAGCCAATCTTGAGCAAACAGTGCACTACTGAAACGAGAACTAACACGGGAGGGTTGGGAAATACCAAACGTCACCATCATCAACACAAACTTCATCGCCAGAAGCACTGCCGTTGCTGTATTCATCTCCTGAGCAGGAGTTCTCGTCAGGAATACGTCCGAGCGAGCCAACACCGCAAAGACCAGACTTTCAATGTGCGCTTCCCGTTCCAGAGGCGCCGCTGCTTCCTCGTGCCCAATTCTCCGATGGTGTGCTCGTCACCCTGCACGGACCAACGGCCCCCCTGAGGCGCATGAACAAAGTGCCGCGCTCGGCCTCGTGGCGCACGCTGGGGCTCATCTGCTCCGAACCGCCTGCCCTGTCGAGCCGATGACTGCCGGCGAGCTCGTCGCGGCCGCAGCAGCGAGCGGGAGCCGCGTGCTCGGAGCAGCGACCGCGGGGACACGACGCAGGGCCTCCGCCTCCCGTGGGCGCCGACCCGGGACCGGTGCGTGCCCCCGAGCGCCGACCGCGGCAGCCCGGGGAGGAGGGAGCTCGGCCGGCACCTCGGCCCGCGCTCGCGCGGAGGTTCGCCGGCTCGGAGCGGGCCGTGCTCGGTCCGCCGAGCCCCGGCCGTGCGGCCGCGCGCCTGCTGCGGCGGCTCGGTGGAAGGGCGGCCCTTCCTCCCTTCTCCTTCCCGCGGGAGGAGAGGGGCGTGGAGGCAGGGCAGCAGGGGCTCGCATGGGGCCGTGCCGACGTGGCACGGCGGCGTGGGGAACCAAAGCGGGGGGGGCAATGGGCAGGGGAGGGAAGCGGAGATGGGGGAGGCAGGAGGGGCGGCCAATTCACGTCGCGATGACGTCGGCGTTGGTTTCCGAGTTTGCCGTTTCAACCGAGAGAGGCCAGTCCACAAGAAACCTTCCACAAGAAACCCAACTCTGAGACCCCAGGATGTTCATTGATTTTTAGTGTGGGAACGTCATGCTTTCAATCGCAAAACCAGCGAATTCCTTCAAACATCAGGGCACACTGGAGGCAAGCAGGGTATTTCTTGGCATGGGCATCCACTGCAGGCCCCAGGATTTCCAGAATATCTCGCGGCCCTCGTTTCTGGAGCCCGTGCGTGGCACCGGGAAATCTTAGGGATCTAGTACGTGAACCTATCACCCTTATGACCTCCTGCTCCTTCGGTGGCAACTCATGGGAGCATCCCATGCCACCTTGCCGGCTCTTGCGAATCGACGCTACTCGACGCTCATCGACGCTAAGTAGACGCTAGTCGACGCTAAATCGGCGCTATCTCATGCACTCCCAGACGCTCCTCGACGCTAATCGGCGCTCAAGACGGAAATCAAGAGGGTACACCAGGCCCCCACGCTTTGCTACCGAGTGCTCTTCTGACTATCCCACCCTGCCGTTGCCCCTGGACAGCTAGAGGTTTGCTAGATGGGGTCCGAGTAGATGGGGTCCGAGGATCTCGCCGCATCGCCCATACATTGGCGCTACATCGGGGATGCATCGGCGATGCATCGGCGACGTCGGCGATGCATCGACGATACCGATCGATCCTCCGACCCCATCTACTCCGACCCCAACTGGAAGGCCTAGACTATCCCACCCTGTCGTTGCCCCTAGGCAGCGCAGGTCGTTCGATATATCGGCCCACCCTGGGCCAACGCAGACGCTCCACCTCAGGTGCGCCGATGCGCCAGGCCCCGCCGCCGCGTCGGTGCGGCGCGACACCAGCCTCTCACTGGCTGCCGCCCGCAGTTAACGGAGAGGAGAAGGGGACGGGAGCAAGGGGAGGAGTAGAGGGGGACAATGCAAGAAGAGAAAACGCCATGAACATAAACTTTCGGCGCTCCGCGGGATTTCTTGGATCTGCGATGGACCCCCTCCCTGGCGCGCGGAGCGCGCCAGGACCGGCGCAGGAGGCGCCGCAAAGGGGACCAGCGCGGATCCAAGAAATCCGCGCGGAGCGCCAAAAGTTTATTTTTATGACGTTGATTCGTCTTCGAGACAGGGCATCATGGAGAAGAGAAGGACGAGGCACCACAGGGAGGAGAGAATTCCCTTCCCCTTGTTGCTTGCCGTCCCCCTGCTGCGGCTTCCCGCCTCCTCCCTCATCTTTACCCCTCTCAGCCCGAGTCCGGGGCTCTCGCAAGCTTCTGTCATCACAGCTGTACTGCCGGATGGATTGCTAACCTGCGTTGCCGTCGGTCCGGTATCATCTCGGGGGGGGAAGCTCCCTTCCCTATGCTATCTTCCTTTTCAAACGGGGGGACGACTAGCGAAGGATCGGCTGCACGCCAAAGTGACCCTAGTAGGCAGGAGTGGCCTTTGGTGCGCGGACTAAGGAGGCGCGAGGTGGCCAACTCCGGGCGCGCAAGCAGCCACCAACGCATCGCGCGCAGCGATCGAGGGGGCCCCAGATAGCCCGCACCACAAGTCACTCCGACAAAGGTCACTCCTGCGTGTAGTCTCAAGACGGGCCTGTCCCTCTACAGGGGGAATGTTCAAAAATAGTGATAAAAAATTGGGGATTAAAACATGAATATTTCGGGTATGTTTTACTTTTCGTTCCTACCCTTTGCTCTGCTCTCTCCCCTTGCAGGCGCTGCGGCTGGGCTTCCTGGCGTCCCCTGGTAGCCAGGAGAGGCGGCCGCGTGCACGGAGGAACGCGCCCGTCGGCGGAGAGCAGAACCCAGCTGCGTGCCGCAACGTTCGCACCCGCCAACCCCTTCCCCCGACCCAGGAGGAGGAGGAGGAGGGGGAGGAGGAGGAGGAGGAGGAGGAGGAGGAGGAGGAGGAGGAGGAGGAGGAGGAGGAGGAAGAGGAGGAGCGAACGAACCCTGGAGGTGGGCGAGTCAACGTCTAGCGGCCCGCACCTGCGCTGGCAGCGTCAGGCGGCGCACGGGGCGACAGAGGCGGCGTGCATTCTGTGTAGTTTACGTTTCGAGGCGGAGGTGAAGAACGGTCGGACGGCCGGAAGAGAGGAGCACGTGAGGACGAGCGGGACGTCCGGCGGTCGGGAGGAGAAAAAGGCTGACCAGCGGCAGGCGGCGGGCCCGCGCTACTGCCTCCGTGCGGCGATGCGCCGAGTCGGAGGGCCTGGCGTGCGGCGGCACGCGACTCACTCAGGTGGTTGTACGTCGAGGCCTCGAACGCGTACACGTCGCTGTAGGAGGCCTGAAAGTCTTTGTATGTGTGGTACATGCGGTAGGCGACGGCCAGGCGTACCATCGCGTGGGAGACGTGGTTCTCGTTGTTCGGATCGACGTTGTGGCAGCTCTCGTGCATCCCGGGGCGGGCCAGTACGCAGTTCGATAGGCAGCCCCTGGGGTACGCTAACGCATGGCACAGCCTGAGGCAAATGAGGTAGTGCGAGATGCTATCCGTAGCGTAGTTTGCGTTGCACCCGTATATGCATGGGCGGCGATCAGGTTGCACATGGAGGAGGAGGAGGAGGAGGAGGAGGAGGAGGAGGAGGAGGAGGAGGAGGAGGAGGAGGAGGAGGAGAGGAGGCGGACCTCCTGACCCGGGTCATTCCAGACCCGGGTCAGTCGGGCCCTGGCGGGACCCTGCAGGGCCCTGCGGGGTCCTGCAGGCGCCTGCGCTCAAAGACCAGGTCAAGGCACCCCTGGCCCTGCGGGATCCTGCAGAGGATCTGGTGCTCTGGCTGACCCGCATCTGCACTGGCCGCCGCCTCTGCGGCCCCGATCCCCTCCCCCTCGCCGGGCCCCGGAGAGCAGGAGAGACACGGAAGGGGGGGGTGACGAAAGTTATGTCGGGCCTGTCCCTCTACATGGGAAATATAAAAAAATAGTTTCCTCTTTTTTTAAAACAAAAAAACACAGTCTGGGGGCTATTGTTTGATCATGTTTGGGCATCTTTTGAATATGTTCGGAGTATTTTGCATTTTTCGTCCAAAATCCCCCTGTAGGGGGACACGCCCGACTTAAGACGAGAGCAAAGGCGCCGCGCGGCAGGAGCTGGTGGCCGCGACGTCGTCGGGCACCGCGCGAGGCGCCGCCCGAAGAGAGCGCGGCGCTCTGCGGGGCCAGGCGGGGAAGCTCGGCGCGGCCGGGAGAAAATCGCAAGGGGCCGCCCGTCGTGCCGAGCCGAGCGGCCACGGCCGGGGGGGCACCGCGTGCCTCACCACGCCCTGGCAGTCAGAGGGGGCTTCGTCACATGATGAGACGTTCCCTCCCCAACCTCCTCTTCCTCTTCCTCCTCCTCCTCCTCCTCCTCCTCCTCCTCCTCCTCCCTCCTCCTCCTCCTCCTCCTCCTCCTCCTCCTCCTCCTCCTCCTCCTCTTCCTCCTCTTCCTCCTCCTCCTCTGCCTCCTCAGCCTCCTCTGCCTCCTCCTCCTCCTCCTCGTCACCCCCTCCGCCGCGAAACCGCTCCTCGTCGGACTCGCAGCGCGGGGCGGACTCAGGTTGCCGACCCGAGGGGCGCGCCGCGCCCAGGCCGCCCCTCGAGGGGCGGCGCGGGGGGCGCGCCCAGACCGCCTCTCGAGGGGCGGCGGGGCCGGGCGGCCTCCGAGGCCGAGGGGGCCCCACGGAGGCGTGAGGGGGCGGCTCCCCCCTGGCTGCGGCGGCCCTGCCGTGCGGCACGGCCGCAGGGAGGCCGTGGCCTCAGCATTCCGACGGCAGCCGCGCGGGCACGACAGGTGCGAGCAAGGTGTGCATCTTACATCCACTGCGTCTAGAAGGCCTGGCCCCTGGAGGCCAGAGTTCGGCCTCGCACGTCCTCCTGCGGGCGGATTTCGGAAGAGCAGGGACACATTGTCAGAACCGATTCAACCGTGGATGGTGGAGGGGCAAGCCCTGCTTCAGGTCAGAGGCTTGTCCGCATCCCCTGCGCCTCGGCCTCTCTGCGCCCCTTCCCAAAACACGCGTCCACGCACAGCGGAGGCTGCACACCTGGCCCACAGAAACGGAGCCCGCAGCGGCGCGCGAATTGGCGCGCCGGAGGGGCCGGCGGGCGCCACGAGTCTGCCGGGCGGGCCGCCGGCCGCCCGGCGCCGTGCAAGCTGCCAGGGCCCCCCTCCTCGTCTTTCTCTGCGGTGGGGGGTCGGGGCAGAGGCCTCCCAGGTGGGGTCATCTCGGCCGGCCAGACAGCCTGGTGTGTACTCGGATCTAGGCCTCCACCCCTCCTCCTCCCTGCCCCCTCCTCCTCCCTGCCCCCTCATCCTCCTCCCTCCCCTCTCCTGGGTCCGTGGTCGCCAGACTGGACCCTGCAGAGACACGCAATTCGAGACCTCCCAGGTGGGGTCCGAGCGGACGGCATCGGAGGCTCGCGCGCCGCATCGCCGAGGCATCGCCGAGGCACCGTCGATGCCTCGGCGATGCCTCCGCGACGTCGGCGATGCACCGGCGCCGCGCGCGTTCCAAACATCGGGCCCCGCGTCGAGCCGCATCGCTGATGCATCGGCGATGCGGCGCGATCCTCCGACACCGTGTGCTCGGACCTCATATCGAAGGCCTAGATCGGAATATACACCAAGCTTCCTGGCCAGCCAAGAAGCTCGGGGATCTACTGACCCAGGTCAATCCAGACCAGACCTGGGTCGGTCAGGCCTGGCAGGATCCTGCAGGATCCTGCAGGATCCTGCACCCAGCCCGTGTCAATGCAGCCCTGGCTCTGCAGGATCCTGCAAGATCTGGCGCTCTGACTGAACCCTGTTTGCATTGACCCCCGTCTCTGGAGCCTCGAGTATACACCAAGCTGTCTGGCTCGCCAAGAAGATCAGCGCATAACGCGACCAGACTACCACATTATTCATTGCGTGGAACCCCATATGCGCATCTACTTGCATCGGCCGCTCCCCCGGGAGTGTCTCGGCGCAAGAGACTTTGAGTTTAAACGAGCTTGATTGAGTATTGACAGATTGGGAGGGAGCCTCACGGTGAAGGATTTCCAGTGTGCACTAGTCTCACTAGTACGAGTGGGTCTATGCGCATAAGTCTGGATATGGTTTAGTTTAGGATGAGCGTATCTGCACGTCAATGGCCTGAGTGGGACCCAGCAGGACTGAGTCGACGTGGCTGCGTGATCCCTCTCTCCATTCTTGCAAGGAATATGGATGCTCATGTAAACGCTGTGTAAGACCCTTGCACTGCGTTCGCTGGCACAGAAGATCTTGCGCAGTGGCTCACGCAAACATCTGACGCGACACACCACGTGGAAGAGAGACGGTTTGCTCGTGGCTTCACGCTGGAAGCTCACGCGCCAGTGTCCCTCCCTCCTCCTCCTCCTCCTCCTCCTCCTCTTCCTCCTCCTCCTCCTCCTCCTCCTCCTCCTCCTCCTCTTGCTCATCCTCCTCCTCCTCCTCCCTCCCCCCCACCCACCCTGTGGACCCATCCATGGATACGTGTTCCTCCCTCCTCCTCCTCCTCCCCTCCTCCTCCTACTCGTCTTCCTGCTCCTCCTCCTCCTCTTTTCCTCTTACCTCCCTCCCACGCCCCGTGGGCCCATCCATGGATACGTTCCACAAGCATGCTGACAATAATCCAGCCCTGAAGACGAGAACGCCACAGGAACCCACAACCTCCAACCTCGAACCTCGATCCTCTGGCCCCCGCCACCCGGGTGGCCCGTTCGGCAGCGAGGGCATCCCTCCTCCTGGAGACGTACCTCCTCCCTACTCCACCTCTTCAATCCTCTCCTTCTTCCTCCTCCTCTTCCTTTCCCTCACCCTCCTCCTACAATTCCTCCTCCTCCTCCTCCCCCTCCTCTTCCTACTCTTCCCCTCTTCCTTCTCCTCCTCGTCCTCCTCCTTCACCTCCTCCTCCACCTCTTCCTCCCGGCCCGCGTCATACCCCCCTTGCGCCCACCCCCTGCAGCGCGCTCGCCCCGCAGAGACCTCTGGCTGCCGGGCCAGACACATGGCCAGATACATCCTCGCAATCAGGGCCCCTTGGAGTGGGAAGAACAGCGCCTCGCCTGAGACATCCTCGGACTCTGCTCTGAACGCAAACGAGTCTGGCCACCGCGCGAGACATCCTCGCAAGCTGAACCTCTGATGGTGCTGAAACCACAGCCTCGCCCAAGACATCCACGACATCTGTTTTGAACGAGAACGAATCTGACCACCAAAACAGGCAAACCGCTCCAGACATCTTCTCATTCTGGGCCACTTGGGGTGCAAAAGCTAGCGCCTCGCCCGAGACATTCTCCACATCTGCTCCGAAAGCGGAGGATGTTGGGCTGGAAAACAAGCAAACCGCTCGAGATATCCCCGCAATCTGGGCGCGAACGGGCCCGAGCAATACCCCCTGGCGGCTCCCCCTTGGTAATGTTGAAACAAGCGCTTCGCCCGAGACATCCTCACAACCTGCTCTGAACGTAAGCGGGTCTGGCCACCACAACAGGCAAACAGCTTTGGACTTCTTCACAATCTCGCCCGAGACCTCCTCAGAATCAGCTCCGAAAGCGGAGGATGGGGTGCTGACACCAGCGCCTTGCCCGAGACATCTTCGGAAACTGTTTTTAACGCAGACGAGTCTGGCCACCCAAACAAACAAACCGCTGCGGACACCCTCGCGATCTAGGTCCCCTGGGGTGCGGAAGCCAGCGCCTCGCCCGAGACATCTTCAACAACTGCTCCGAAAGCGAAGCATTTTGGGTCGGTAAACGGGCAAAACGCTCGAGACATCCCCGCAATCTGGGCGCGAACGGAGGAGTGCAATACCCTCTGGCGCGTGGAAGTGCTGGAACCAACGCCTCAACCGAGACATCCTCAAAACATGCTCCGTCATCATCATCGTCATCATCATCATCATCATCATCATCATCATCATCACCATCATCACCATCATCACCATAACCTCATCCGGGAATTCAGCCCCCCTGCGGTATCCTTAACACCGCAACAACAATACATTGTTCACTGCGCGGAGCTCCCTTTAGGTTCATCTCATACACCTGTGTCGTCTCAGTGAAGAACTCTGTGTGTGACCATTTGGGTGTGGGAGCGAATCGGCGTGTACGACGGGCGCGGCAACGACGACGGCGACAGCGACGACGTCAGAGACTGCAATGGGAATATTCCAGGGGAGATGCGGAAACCTCAAGTGGAAGAGCGAGTGAGCATTGGACCGCTAAAGGGAAAAAACTGAGCGGATCTGAGCATGAGTGATCTGAGCGTGAGTGAGTCTCAATGTGGATGAACCTGGGTATGGTTGGATGTGAGTGCCAGTGAATCTAGGTGTGAGAAAGTATGGACACAAGTGGGCTTGAGAATGCGTAAATCTGAATATGAGCGCACCTGAGTGAGAGTGAATCTGAATGTGGGTAAGCCTGGGTTTGAGTGAGTATGCGTACGGGTATGACGATTACCAGTCTGAGTCTGTGGACGAATTTGAATACGAATGAGTCTGGCGACGGGCGAATCTGAGGGAGGGTGGGTCTGGAGTCTGAGTGTGTGCAAGTCTGAGCATGAATGAACCTGACTATGAATAGTACGGGTCTGGGAATGAGCGCGTCTGAGCACGAGTGAGTTTGAGCATAGCTGAGTTTGGGACATCCTCACATTCTGGGCCCCCCCTGGGGTGCGAAAGCCAGCGCCTCGCCCGAGATATCCTGAGAATCTGCTCTGAACACAGACGAGCCTGGCCAGCAATAAAACAAACCGCTCAAGACATCCTCGCAATCTGTGCCCCCCAATGGTGCACAACCAGCGCCTCGCCGAGCCGACCCCAGAATCTGCTCCGAAAGCGGATGATGTCGAGAGCCAAAACAAGTAACTTGCTCGAGACATCCCCGCCATCTGGGCGCGAACGGAAGAGTGCAATACCCCCTGGCGGCCCTCCTTTGGGGGCGAAAGCCAGCGCCTCAATTGGGATATCCTGAGAATCTGCTCCGAAGGCAAAGGATGATGGGAACCAAAACAGGCACCCCGCTCGAGACATCCCCGCCATGTTGGCGCGCACAGAGGAGTGCAATACCACCTGGCGGCTCCCCCTTGGGAATGCTTAAACCAACGCCTCGCTCGGGACATCCTGAGAATCTGCTCCGTTATCATCATCATCATCATCATCATCATCATCATCATCATCAGCATCATCATCATCGTCATCATCATCATCGTCATCATCATCATCATCAGCATCATCATCATCATCATCAGCATCATCATCATCATCACCACCATCAGCATCACCATCACCATCACCATCATCATCATCATCATCATCATCATCATCATCATCATCATCGTCATCATCGTCGTCATCCTCACCATCGCTATCCCCATCCTTCTATGCCGTAACATCGCATTGCATACTATAGCTTGGCATACTATAGCATAGCATGAGGGAGAAGAGGAATAGGGAGGGCTATGTGAGTGAGGAGGTGGCACGGTCGAAGTAATTATGCACTGCATGGAGCTACCCAAAAGCGCTTCTATTATTATGGACCTGTCCGCCGTGAGTGTCTAGGCGCAAGAACTTTCGAATACAAGCGGGCGTGAGTATTGACGGTTTGATAGCGCATCTAACTGTGAATGAGTTGGAGTGTGAACGAGCATCAATAATATTAATGCGTCTCTGCGCATGAACCTGGGGTCTTCTGGGGCCTCTTGAAACTTTCTGGGGCTTCCTGGGGCCTCCCGGATCCTCTTGGGGCCTCTTGGGGCTGTCTGTGGCCTCGTGAAGCCTCGTGTGGCCTGAGCCTTCCAGGGCCTCCTGGTGCCTCCTGGCGTTTCCTGTGGACTCCTGTGGCCTCCTGTTGCCTCCTGGGGCCTTCTGGTGTTTCCTGGGGCCTCCTGTTGCCTCCTGGGGCCTCTAATGGCCATAGAGATGCTGAAACCGGACCCTTGCCCTAGACCTCCTCTGAATTTGCTCCGCCAGTATCAGCCTTAGCATCATCATCATCATCATCATCATCATCATCATCATCATCCTCATCATCATCACATCCATCATGACCATCAGCAACATGATCATCATCACCACCACCATCATCATCATACCATATAACACAACATGGTGTGCCATCACATCAAGTACACTAACAAAACATCGCATAACATACCAACATACATCATATCAAACCATTTCATAACACCACATGGTGACGTTACACATCATAACAGACAGTGACATCACGTAGCATAACATAGCAGGACACTGCAGGAGAGTGCAAGGGAAAAGAGGTGTGAGGTGTTCCTTCTCTCCGCGCGGTCAGCAATAACAATAACTGTATCCTTTGGGTATGGGGAAGAACAAAAACCCATCCTTGGTAGATGGGGACCCAGAACCTCAGCTTCCGGATATGAG